TTGGGATAGGTTCTGTAATGGACTGGTATCCTACTTGGTGTACTTAAGAGAAGTATTTTAATGCTACAGAAGCTGAGATAGGCTTCAGCTGCAGGATCACTTGTGTGAAATACTCTGTAATAGATCAATTTTATTGGGCTACTGCAGGTGGAAAAGAAATTGTCTCAAGTTCTTCAAGAAATACTTACATGTTTTCTCTTGGGATTGAGCCATGGGAAGGACAGCATAGCGATCCTTTGCATAGTCCTACATGAGAAAACAAAAATATGTATTAAACAATGAAACATTTTTCATACGTTTCTTGTCATTGAACCAGTGGCTAGGGGTTAAACTCTAATTAAAATAATTTACACAAATTGACTTGTTAACAATTAAACTCTGATCAAAATGACTTTCACAAATTGACTTGATAACAATTGAAGCTGAGCCACAAACAAATTTTAAGTGCAAGGATTAGGACAACCCCTACAAAGACTTTAAGTAGCCTCTTATAGCTTATACATTGGTGCTATACACTCAAGACAAATACGGTAATACCTCAGCATCTTTGGCGTCTGCATCAGCAGCCTGTAAAGGGAAAAAATTACGAGAGAAGATTAGAATTACACTCTAGTGCTGGTGTTGTCTAAGACAACCACATTTATTTGGTACACACCGACAAATAAAAAAGATACTTCACTAGGGTTGAAATTCATTCTATGCTATCTGCTGAAAAAATTTATAAACAAAGAGAGCTTTCTGTTTCCAGTCCATAAACGACTAAAAACCTATCTGGATAAGGTGACAAGGCAATGAAGGACACTGATAAATGTATCTCATCTAAAATGTAGAACAAGTATTTCATGAATGGTACAGCTGATTATTCACCCATTAATTAACAATTATTTCACAAGCGTGCGTTGGATATGAGATGATAGATAGCCAACGAGGCGCGTATACGAGCCGAGTTGGCTATAATCATCTCATATCCAACAAACACGAGTGGAATAATTGTTTTATTAAAAACGTTAAATTAAATTATTAAATTTTTTAGCTCCTTTTTAATTTTAAGCTGACATGTGCGCTTACCATATTTGTTGATTATGGTATAATATACCATAATGGCTAAGCCAATAAAAAGTCTTGAATTGCATTATCCAATGATCCAGTTTTTAATAATATATGATACAAAAGTAAATGAGCAATGGGAAGTATTTTTGATATAGTGCGCTATTTTCTGAACAACGATCTATTTTCTTGATAAAGTACTATTTACATGTTCAAAAGGATTAATTTCGGTTTAAATTAAAGCCTTGGCTCTCGCACAGCTATTTCTATGATAAAAAATTCCGTTGCTAGATCTAGAAGCTGGCTGCGTCTTAATTGGGTTTAAGTTTATTCTTAGAAGTTATTTCCAACCTGTTTCGCTTCTCTTTCTGCTTTCTTCTTCTCTTTTTCTTTCTCCTTCTCCATCTTTTTCAGTGCTTTCTTTGACAAAGGCTGACCATCGGGTCTGTAGACCAATACAACAATGTTTAAAAAATGAGGGCTGTTCATTTAGCGAAATTTAAAATATCTGATGCAATATAATTTTTCTCATTACCCCAATGTGACCTTCTCTTCAGCAGGCGAACCTCCGATTCCATTTTCTGACGACATAATCAATGATGACGTGGTGAGGAAACGCTTAAAAACGAACTGAGGTCTGTTCCCTCCAAAGAAGAATAATCGTGACGATCTAGAAACAATCTGGGTCACCCGCCCCGCTAACATGCAAAGGAAAAAGGATTATGATTTCTATAAAGGAAATTTTCAGTCAGGCGTACTGACCGGGTCTCGTTCCAGGACTTAATTGATAGCTTTGTCATGTAGGAGGTAATAAGGCATGCCCATGTCTGAAAAAAGCACCTTTGGCGGTATGTACCGAGTTCATGGCTGAATGCCATATAGACGATATATAATGCTAATTCTACATAAATAGCCATCCTTTACCATCCCTATCCATCCTTTACCATCCCTGGCCATACCCAGCCGTCCTTTACCATCCCTATCCATCTCTAACCATCCTTTACCATCCTTAGCTATCCCTAGCCATCCATAGCCATCCTTTACCATCCCTAGCCCTCCCCAGCCATCCATAGCCATCCATAGTCATCCTTAGCCATCCTTTACCATCCCTATCCATCCTTTACCATCCCTGCCCATACCTAGCCTTCTTTTACCATCCCTATCCATCCCTAACCATCCTTTACCATCCTTAGCTATCCCTAGCCATCCATAGCCATCCTTTACCATCCCTAGCCCTCCCCAGCCATCCATAGCCATCCATAGCCATCCTTAGCCGTCCTTTACCATCCCTAGCCCTCCCAAGCCATCCTTTACCGTCCCTATCCATCCTTTACCATCCCTAGCCATCCTTTACCATCCCTAGGGATGGCTAAGGATGGCTAACTGAAGGATGGTAAAGGATGGCTAAGGATAGCTAAGGATGGTAAAGGATGGCTAGGGATGGTAAAGGATGGCCAGGGATGTCAAAGGATGGCTATAGAGGGTAAAGGATGGCTAGGGATGGCATAGGATGGCTAGGGATGGTAAAGGATGATTGGGAATGGAAGCCGTCTATGCGGAACTAGCACTATATGTCGTCTATATGGCATTCAGCCTTGAAGTACATACCCTTTTGGCTCATTACGCCCCTCTAATCTAACAAGCTCCGTCAAAGAGGGTTGTGTTAGGAAAAGGGAGAGAAGTGGGAAACAAACAAACAAACAAACCAAAACAAGTAAGAAAAATAGGCAAATGAATAAATAGATAGATGTATAAATTGATAAATGGCACAGCACCTGCCTACGGGATGCATGGAATATCTGGAATTGTGGTGGGTTTGTGTCCTTAATTTTCTTTTCTTCCATTTGATAAACTGGCAATTATAAACAAGCCAAGGAGTACTCAAAACGTTTGACCTCCTGTTTATACATTATTTAGGGCTTCTGACTTTTGATTTCTATTCAGGACCGGCATCAACGTCCGAAGGTATTGTCTGACCTACGACTTCGCTCTTAACTCCGATCTTTGGACTGTTATGTTTTATTCTAAGCTCCACCTTTCGTCACATTACTACCCACTTCTACCTTCAGTGAAACGGCGGGGTATAATTTTAGCCGGACATGAGGACATCTTAGTTGTCCCCTAAGTGAGGTGCCACGGTAATGTTAGACTGGCAAGATCTTGAGTTGCCTGGGTTCATTCGCCTTCTCCCTTCGAAGGAAAAAGGAGAGAAAGACAGGAAACGCATCGTGTATCTCTCCTAGGATATCTCGCGCGATAAAAACGATTCAGTGGCGAAAAAGTCTTTTTTCGAAAGAAAAAAATCTAACCCCGCTATCAACGTAAGCCAGCGCAAGTTAGAAAAGTGTTTGACATTTTTCGTTTCAAGACAATTCTCTTCCCATTTCACTGAAAACTCAGCTTTGATTAGTCGGAGGCTACTCTGCAAAGGCTGTCAGTTTTTTTTTTTTTTTTAATTTGTTCAACTTAAGTTCAAATTTGTAAAACGATTAAGTCTCTTTTGCGTCATCACCCTTAACCCGAGTAACAAAGAGTTATTTCACTGAGCAGTCGGTAAATATGGCCAACAAAAGCATTGACGTCAATTTTTGCATATAAATATTCCCAGTGAGTCTGGCAGTCAGTGCAGATCGCCTTTGATAGACTGTGTAGATTGAGAATTGGGGATAGCTCTTATTCCAGTTCTGCGAGCGCGGTTTAGTTTGACAGCGGCTTCCTGTATTAGTTCATGCGAAAGCGAGGCTATCGGGTCAAGCTTTCTCGAAGATTACAGGCGTTGTGAAGTAAATTTTAGCATAAGTGTCGAAAATGTTTAATTATTTCCAAAATCAACGTTTTTATCTACCGAAGAGAAAGTGAAAATATTAATTGGTAAGCGCAACCATAGGAAACCACTGTCCAATTAAACCACGCACGCGGATCTGGAATAAGAGCTATTGAGAGATATATAAACCTATAACGCAATGGGAAGTTTGCGTAGCTTTCGAGAATTCTTCAGACCCCCCCTACCCCACCCCTACTTCACTTATCTAGAGTGTATAGGTGATGCAATTTAAACACTATGCAGAGTTTCCTTGCCTTAATCAATAATTTTTTTTTCAAATGCAGAAATGTATTTTCATCGATTCAGCTCAACAAATTAAACCCATCGACCAACGAGAGCGCGCGAGGTATCTCGGCTATTTTGTGAAAATTAGTATTAAGAAATCTTTCCGCGGATTTCATTTTAAAGAGCACTTCACATTTTTTCTGCTGTCAAGCAGTGTCTTAATGACGTTTTATTTGGCAGTCAGGGAACAATTTCAATCAGCGCTGATATTCTAATTCATCAGACATACTGCTGAGATCTCCAAGAGCCCCATGATTAAGCTGCGAAAAGGTTTAAGTCTGAGGCCAACACGATAATAAACGGGAAATGCGAAAAGGGAAGTGATTGGCCAAAAAACGTGAACCTAGCCCAAACAGGTCCATTTCTTTTAGTCATAATTGCGTCATAAACGTATTGGAGGTAATTTGCAGGCCATTGAGAACTTTCCCTGGAAAGTTTGTCTGTCAATTAATAAACACTTTAACCATCAATTGATGGATGAAATGGATAAATGATGGAAAAGCAATCAATGACAATAATCAAAATGACCTTAGCTAGTGAAATGAAAATAGCCCCCAACAGATGATATCATCTTAACTTACTCTCAAGTGCTTTTATCTGTAGGAAGACTTTAAAAAAAGAAACATTCTAAAATAGGCAATATTTGGAATTTGTACTTTACCAATGCGCATTCCAGGAGAGGAAAGATGATACTGGACAGATTGTAACCCGGATTTAGGGAGGCCCGGATTTAGGGAGGCCCGGATTTAGGGAGGCCCGGATTTAGGGAGGCCCGGATTTAGGGAGGCCCTGCATGAGTCGGGTTTTATTAAGACATATACTGTAAGAAAAAGTTGTAGTTAGTTTCGTGTTTTTTTATTTTTTGTTTCAAAAAAAGGAACTGTTAAATCTGGCTTCACTCTCATAAAATCGTATAGTCCATCGTTGTGCTAATCGTGTCATCAGTTCTAACGGATGATTCAAATAGCTTATACCTGTTTCAGAAAATCTTGGTTTTACTTCACGAAAAGAGATTGCAGTTGTTAGCAACCATTTATCCAGAGATGTCGATGGCTTTTAGGCCTTCAGGAAAGCAAACGGAAAAATCTTCAGCAAATAATATTATTTCTTATTAGATTACTTTAGTTACTTTGCATTCAAGCTCTTTAGTACTTGATTTTTTTTTTCACTTCTATTTTTAACAGACCTTTCACCTTAACAAATATGTGGATTTCCGAGAAACACCCAAACGTGGTCTGTGTTCCAGAGTAGTAGCTGCCAGTATTTTCCACATTTAAGCACAAAATGAAAGAGGGCGAGCATTTGATAAGCTCACTGAATTATTTTAAGGGTCTTTGATACAACGGGCTTTTAAAACACTGGGTACATATACGAACGTGATTTATTGAAATCGCGTTATCGTTACAGCTCAAGACTTCTTGACTAGTTAGCGAGTTGAGTCTGGGGACAATATGGCTATACTTTGCAAGCTGATCCCTTGTAACCAACACGTCCAATTTTAAGTGTGGATTAATCAAATGTCAGGGCATCTGTCAGATAAAGAAACAAATTCATGACCAATTCATAACCTCAGTTTGGAAACGGTTCACAAAACGGAAGTTTTTACCTCAAAACCCGGTCAGTAAAAATCCAATATAAAAAAAACAATTTAAGTTCCTGTAAGGAGTTAGTTTGCTTAAAAGCTGAGTTTTCCTTACTTTGAAAGACAGCTTCTATAATTTCTGTCAATGTTTTGGCAACAAACCAGGGTAATGATTAACGTCATAAGTGTTCAACAAAGTCTCAAGAACCGTGCAAAATAACTCCGGAAAAATTAGTTCGCTTGCGAAACGCAACAAGGCTTTATGATTTTTCGAGTCATACGCATTGTCTAGCTTTCTTGATTTCTTCAGCGCTCTTTTGAAGCTGTCACTGTCAATATGCATTAACTAGTCTTTCTTCGCAGTCAGTATCTGCTGTCAAGGAATTTTCTATTGTGTTGGTTGAATAACCTAATTACTCATTACAGTAGACGAATGATCATTAGAAGGAATCAAGGAGTAGTTTCACTAATCATCTCTTAAAAGCCGTTTTCGTTTGGAACGAAAAGCATTTGAAAACAAAACCCCTGCTTAGAGGTTTCATGGCCTGTCTGTGAGCTTTTATAATTGCTTTACTTATCGAAGACTCAATATTGAAAGAAGGATTTAACAAGCAAATTTCAAAATGCGTAGTTGTCCAAAACTAGTTACGTATTTCGTCAGAGCAAAATTACGTCGTAATATCAACACAAACTAATAGTGCGTAACATTGTTCTTACTTGCAATAAAAAGCATGGCTGCATCATCTTGGACTTTTTCTTTTATTCTGAGAAGACTGAAATATCCTTGGCTTACTCACTTACGTATTTATGTCCATTAAACTCATAAATGTCTTGGTTTTGACACCTAAAGGCCATTGTACTGCCTAACAAAAGTTTCAACAATGTTTACTCTTGCTTTGCATATTGATAGCCCCACGCTACAAAAATATATCTTTCCTCCTTCGCTCTCCAGTGTGTTCCGTGTTCAATTTGAATTGATTAAGCCGTGGATCAAGTCAGAAAGAGAACGTACATGATAATTTATACTGTCATTGATATCTACTTTCCAT